AATCTCTCGCCCTCCCTCTCTCTATATATAGATAGATATATTTGGAGTCTGTTTCGTGCTTGCACTCAATCATCAGGCCATGTGTCAGAAGGATGTATTCAAGCATGAAACATACTGTCGCTGCTCGTGTTACCTTCAGCGTCTCATTTTGTGTTTTTATACCTCCGGATGCTCTATTTCTGATATAGAGCCTACCTTAAAACTATATTTTTTATCATATGTATATATATATATATAGTCATAACTATTTCGTCCCAAGCAAGCAATTATGAATTGCTAAGACGCAAGGGGTTACTGGGAGTGCAATAAAATGAGAAGGCTTTAGTGGAACAATAAAAGAATGGGTTTCAAGAAGACTGAAGATGGCGATAAATGTTGCAGTTAATTTTATTAAGATTTTAGATAGCAGGAAAAAAAGGAAAGAGCGTTCCAGATGTGAGATGTGCGAGGGAAGAAACTATCAGAATAGAACTTACGGTTACATCTAGCTATTTCCGGAGTAAAACTATGAGACCTATCAGCCAATCCAGTAGTATACTTAAATTCATGCAGGCAAGATAGGAGGGAGAGCTCGATAGAACAATTGCTATAAAAAATATTTATAGAAACTATAAAGGATAACTACGTGACGTATGGTGAGAATTGTGGTTGAGGTCGTGGTGTCAGGCCAGGATCGAACCCTTTGTCAGCGAAAAACATGGGATAATTTATGCAGGCGGTTAGAAGAATGACAAAGGAGTAGGACTAATACTAGATAGCTAAATTGTGAAATGCGTTCTAGGATACCACCAGCTTTCTGAAAGAATTCTGATAGTGAAGCTGAAAGGGAAACCTTTCATCGAGGCTATTACAGTAGTGTACGCACCGACAGCACAAAACAGGGAAGAGGACATCGAAGGTTTCTACTCTATGCTGGACAGTGCCAAGGCTCTATGAAAATCACAGGAAGTCGTCATTATCCTGGGAGACATAAACTCCAAAGTAGGCAGGGAAAGCGTAGGAGATATAGCAGGATGATTCGGACTAGGAACACACAACGAACGCGAAGAAAAATGGATCGAATGGTGCACAGCCAACCACCAGGTAATAGCCAACACATCGTTCCAAGAACATCTCAGACGATTATGGACATGGAGGAGCCCCGGAGGAGAAACTAAAAACCAAATTGATTGTATAACCATGAACAAAAAGATTCAGAAATGCAATGATTCACTGCAAAACCTACCCAAGAGCCGACTACGGAAGCGATCATCACCTTCTTATATGTAAACTAAGAGTGAAACTGCAGAAATTGAAGAAGCCTAACTCAGCACCCAAACTGCAATGGAACAAACTCCTGAGCGATCCTAACTTAAAATAGAAATACATAGACAATGTGAAAAGAAAATACGAGACACAATGGGACGCACTAAGAGAAGCTTTAGTGACATTAGCAAACAATATAATCCCAAAAGAGGATAGACGAAGAAGGAGAAACGAATGGATGACTGATGAGATTCTCCGCCGCTCATCTCCCCTTATTTATGTCCTATATGACAGCCGGAACTCTTTGTTAGCGCTTAGAGAGACTGCTCTGGCCAACAGTCCCACAATAACAGAGTGTCTATAGTAGATGTCCCTGAATGCAATTCCAGTAGGCAACCCTGAAGCCATGTTCTCAGCCATTCCCTGGCTAGTTTGTATTACCATTGACGAAAGATAGTGACAATTACGGTGGTCTTTTCTCTCTTTCTCCGCAAAAGGAATTTCATGGAAAAGACAACGAAAAGAAATACAACTAAACCAGTAAACAACAACAAAAAAATCACCTACCCACCTTAACCTTCGTGGTATTCGTTCCAACTTCTGAATCTTTCCTCTTGGAACGGTCGCCAGATATCTTTGTCCTCAGTGAAACTAATTTAAATTCTTCCATTAAAACCAATGAATTGTTGGTTCCAGGCTATCTTCCCTTCGCCAGGGTATTGTCTCTCGAGGTCCCAGGTTATTCCTTTATGTGCTTTCGTCTTTCGTTGAAAAATTCTGTTAACTATCTCTTTTTCATTATTAAACCTCCTCTTCCCAGGACTGCAGTATATTAGACATAATTGCTGATAGTATAGAAAAGGCACTTTCCTTCCTTCCGTCCGGAAATATCTTTGTCTTTGTTGACTTTAATGCTCACCACAACACGTGGCTTAATCTTTCTAAAGGGACTAATGTTGCCGGTGCTTAGACATTAAATTTTTCCATTGCCCAATCCATCACTCAAATCATGGACTCCCCTACTCGTTTCCCTAGCCAAACCGAGCAACATGCTTCTCCATAGGTAACTGGATAAGTCTGTTGGCTTGCGGTTGGGTGCGTGGAAGGATGTTTCTCTTCCCAGACCTTTCCTCAGAATGGATGGGTCGGTCAAGATACTCGGCATTCAGTTTGAAATGAATTGGTCAGAGGTACAAGGGAAGGCCGAAATCGCGGTTAATCTGTTGTCTCGGAGGAATCTTTCGTTGAAGGGGAGGGCGGAAGTGTGCGTTTCTCACATCTACACGATTCTCCTTTACGGACTCTCTGTACTTCCACTTCCGTATGCCACAATAATGTCATTATTAAGGCTCTTGTTCTCTTTCTTTTGGAGAGACAATGTCTCTATGGTATCTAGGGAGATCTGTTGCCTTCATCCATCTGAAGGCGGTCTGGGTATGCCTAACATTGAGATTCGTCAATATATGCTTCTCCTCGCCTTCCTAGATCGAATGTGTCGCGAATCGGATGAGGAGGGCGCCTTCTGGAAGGAAGACGCCCGCAAGAACTTCTCATCCCTGAGAAGTGTGCACTCGTGCGAGGAGGAAGCCCACCGTTTACCCCGAGCCGAATGCTCCTTCTACCGTTAATGTCGTCTTGCTCTTAAACGCCTTTTATGGGGGTCGGGTGGCCTCTCCAACGCCCAGGCGTTGTCTCGTAGGGTATTATATCAGGTGTTAGTCAGGGGTCCGTTTGTGATGAGCTGATTGACGAGCGCGGCCTTACGAAGCAGGAGGCTTGCTCAATATGGCCTTGGGCCCCCGGGTTGAAATGTCTCAATAACGATGAGGCATAACTCACCTGGCTGGTAAGTTGTGGGGCCCTCTGGATCGCCAAAAGACTTTGCTCAGTGGGCTTGGATAAATCTCCAAACTGCCGGCGATGTGATGGAGAGGTCGAGACCCACGTTACGACTTCTTTCATTGCAGGGTGGTAGCGCCGTTGTGCAGGTTTGTTGAAGGCCTCATGGTACGCATGCTGCAGGGTAAGTTCTCTGTCCTTGAGGGATATTCTGTTTGTAGCAATGTGGCACCGCCGCTGACGAAGGCTGAACAATATGTGTTCTTTTGCTTGATAGGCGTTATGAGAGTCGTGATTTGAACGACACGTCAGAAGGGATTCTATGGAGGCGAGAAGTTCACTTCTTCCCAACTAATCTTGTACTTTAAGCATCAGCTTAAAGTCAAGATTAGGTCAGAAAGGCGGCGGCTCCCTTCATCAGAATACGGTAAAAGGTGGGTAAATCTTGCGCGTTTGTGTCGTGTGAAAGGGGCTGACCTGGAGTAGCACTTTGATGCCGGTTAGGCATCAGGATATTGCTCTTCCTGGGTTGAACTTGTGAAACCCATCCCGAAATTAGGCTAGTTTAAGTTTGGATTTTGAATCTTTAGTTTCTTTTTTTTTTAGTTAACTTAGCTATGGTATGTATGCTCATTGGACCCCTTTTATTTCTGTCCCTATTTTTCTTTAAGTTTAATTCTCCATCTCAGTGATGTCAGTTCGCTGGTGAATGCGGGGCGCCTTTCGTTTCGCGTGTGTGTTTTCGTATTTGTTGTTGTGGTTGAATGAGTACGTGTCAGTGTGTGTGCTTGGGATGAATGAATGTGTTGTATTATTATAGTCCCACATTGATTTCGTTCAGTTAACTGATATTTCTGCCACATTTAGTGATTGTGGGGGTTTTATTATTTTGCTTAGTTTCTTGTAAATAGTTTTGATTCATAATGTAAATACTCATTGGGGCTAGTTTTTAGAATTTTTATTTTATTCCCCCCCCCCACAAACAATGAATTGTACATATGGGGGACTAGTTAGTATTTTCATAGAGACCATGTGGTATTATGGTGGATGTAGTAAGAAAGGTTCGTAAGAATGTGTTGTTTTGGTGTAAGGAATATTGTTTGTATGATTGGGTCAGTGTTTGTGGCTAGCTAAGTTATCGTTAAAACAGAACAAGACCGTTCTTTTCCTCAATCTGCATTTTTGGCTTGGTGCCACATGTCTGTGTACATACCAGAATAAATATCGCTCTTCGCTATGTACAATACTAGACCGGGATCGAGATCACATCTATTTACAGTTGAGCTGTAAATTCTATGCTAAAAGTTTCTTATCTCGCACTTCTCGCTTGTGGAAACTCCTTCCAGCTCCATGCTTTCCAACCAACTTGATTCTACAAATATTTAAATACAATGTCAATCGCTATCTACTGTCCTCCTGATTACTCTTTTCTCTTTCCGCTCATTATTAATGTTTCTGTTCCTAATTCTTCCACACCCTGTAAACCCTAGTGTCTTTGTGGCATTATTCTTTGCTTGGGGTGATTCCGATTAAAAATAAAAAAAGACTGGGATAGATAGATAGATAGATAGATAGATAGATAGATAGATATGGAAAGGAAATAGACCAATAGATAGATAGATAGATAGATAGATAGATAGATAGATAGATAGATAGATATTTTGTGTAATTTTGGTAAATGTATCTGTTAAAATGTGCTATTTTCATTTTTGTGTAATTTAGGGAACAATTTATCCATCGCACCCTGTATTTCACATTTCTTTTCCTTTTCTTTTTTTCTTTTTCTTTCCTTTTCTTTTTTCTTTTTCCAAACCACTTTTTTCTTGTCTTTTTTTCTGTCTTCGTTAATATTATTATTATTGTTTTAATGATGAATACTTTAGGTTTTCTTAGTGAAATAAGCTTCGAAGTGATAAATGTTTCTTCAGACTAAACAAATTAAACCTCTTCATGAGCACAGGTTTTGTATTTTGTATGTAAATTAATTCATTAATATTGGGGGGGCATTTTTGATACAATTTTTGTATCTTTTCACTCATTAAGATAACCTCTTCGCGTGTTTCTTTCTTTCTCTTTTCTTTGCTTTTCATTCTTTCTTTCATCCTTTCTCTTTTTCTTTCTTCTTTTCGTTCTTTCTTCCTTTCTCTATTTCTTTCATTTTCTTTCTTTCTATCTTTCTTTCATTATTCTATTCTTTTTTGCTTTCATTTCTTAGCTTTTCGTTCTCTCTTTCTTTCTTTCTTTCTTTTTTCTTTCTTTCTTTCTTTCTTTCTTTCTTTCTTGTCACTTGCCATATATTCTATCCTTTATACTGTTTTTCTACTCACGCGCACTTCATCCTTTTTGTAATTTTTATTTTTCTTCTTTTATTTATTGCTTTTGTTTTTATATTCGTTTTAAACTTTCACTTTTCTTTTCTCGTTTTTTTCTCGACTTCTTTCTTTTCACTTAACGTGTTTCTTTTCTTCCTCCCTTTTTTTTCTCTCTTTTTTCTTAAAATTCTCTTAACTTTCCAGAGTCCGTTGCTTTATTTTCCTTTCTTTTTCTCTTTCTAAATTTGTCTGCGTTTTACTAGAACCAACTTTTCCATCGTCTTTTATTCCATTGTCGAGATTTTCCATTTTTATTCTAACGTATTTCTCTTTTCTCTCTTTTATTTGTTTAATCTTTATATATATTTTTTATTTTGCTTTTTCTGTCAATTTATTTTATCTTCACAGATTCCTTTTATTTTACATTCTTTCATTGTTTCTCCTTTTTTTCTTCCTTATCATCTTCTTTTCTTTTTCTTTTTTATTGTTTTAGTTTTATTATTTCTACTTTGCTTTTTTCTTTTCTTATTTCCTTTTTTTCCTCTATCACTTTTATTTCCTTCCTTTTTTTCTACAATTATGGAAAACTATTTCTCCGTTTTTTCATCAGATTCATGCTTGGCTTTCATTGTATTTATTTCTCTTTTTCTTCTTCCTTATTTACTTTTTTTATTTCGGCTTTAACTATCTTTCTTTCGCTCTTCTCTCTTTCTTTCTTACTTTCCTTCTCTATTTCTTTCTTCTTTTATTCTTACTTTCTATATTTTATTTCAGTTCTTTTTTACCTCTAATTTTTCCTGTTTATTTGTTCCTTCTTTCTTTTTTCTTTCATTCTTTCTTTCCGGCTTTTTCTTTTTCTTTCCTTCTTTTTTATTCTTTCATTCATTCTTTCTTTTTTCTTTCTTTCTATTTTCTTATATTCTTCCTCCCTTCGTGACTTTATTGATGCTTTCTTTCTTTCTTTTTTCTTTCTTTCTTATTTTTATTTCTCATTTTTCTTTATTTGTTCTTTATTGTTTCACTTACTCCTTTCTTTCTTATTTTCTTTCTTTCTTATTTTCTTTCTTTCTTTCTTTCTTTCTTATTTTATTTCACATTTTTCTTTATTTTTTCCTTACTGCTTCACTTATTTCTTTCTTTCTTTCTTTCTTTCTTTCTTTCTTTCTTTTTCCTCCAAAGCAAATACGCATGCTAGGTGAAATGTTACTATAATATTCTGATCGGCAGACAATCAATATATGTTGTTTTCTTTTTTTTGTGTGTGTGTATTTGTTTTTTCCTCCTCTTCTTTGGAATTCATTCGATATCCTTAGGCCAACTAAACTCGCAGACATCAAGACTTTCTCAATGAATCAAAGACAAATAACGGTGTTTGATAATCTGTCGTTTAGCGTCGCATTTCATTGCACCTGATAAAGACGATTCAATTTCAATTCTTTTGTAATTTTAGTCAATTTATTTTCCTCTTTGAAAGATGAGATTAACAAAGTAAAAAAGTAGTTACAAAAAGTGCGAAACTTTTCTTTTTATTGTATTTTGATGTTTATTATCTAACTTCAAGTATAAACAAGAGATGACACGACAGACTTCGGAATCATATTGAGTGACAAAATTTCTTCATGAATTTATGGGTCGAATCTCTTGAAGATCTTTCCGTCTCCCTTAAAAATTCTGAGTTGAACTTTATGAAAGGACGAATATTCGTCCTACTTTCTAAATCTTTTTCGATGGACTTTACAATTCCGGTGGCCATTTTACCCGTTATAGAAGATGAACCATTCTTAGCAAATCTGCGCCAATTGTCTTATCCTTCCAGATGTGCATAGCTCCAAAATAAACATTTGTCACTGGATATAGTTTTCTAGTAAATAAAAATATTTAATGCGCGAATACAATTCAAATCGGCATATATATATATATATATATATATATATATATATATATATATATATATATATATATATATATATATATATATATATATATATAAGCAAATATATGGATATAGATTCGACGGTATGAAGAAAATATATACGGAAAAAAACAAACAAAAATCCTTATATGCAATTATGCTGTTTTAATGTTAATATGTCAACGTCGGACGTTTCGGTCTAATAAACCATCTTCAGGACATATTCATAAAATATAATTAACATTATCAATTCAACATGACAAAGACGATGGACATAAGAACAAGACTTATCCAAACAGTTAAATGAAAGTTTTATAAGATCAGCGCTCCGTTTAAACATGGTCACGTTATCGTCACGTGGGCAACGCTGTGAAAACGTATTCCTAAAATTTGAGTATTTTGAATGAAAAATGAAAAGAATTCTATTTTGATCTAAAATTTATATGTACGCTTGTCGAGCATTAATCTCGCTAGAAAAGGGGAAATACTAAAGAAGTCAGGTCTAGTGTTCACCGTGCGTGAGATAGATATTATGCCTGCTTCATAGATCCGCCTAAGATTTTTATTATGAAAATATTTTAAAATCTTCACATATATCTATATATTCGAATTTATTCGTTTCTTTGCTCAGTCAGGCCCGGTACATTCACTTACGCTAAAATACTTAAATTATAAATTCATACCCTCCTCCAGCTATGGGTTAAATAGTAAGACATGTATCAGGAAAATCAGTTATTTTGTCGCAAAATTTAATTATTTTGACAATCAAAATTAAAGATTCAGCTTTGAATAACTCACAAAGCTTTTGTGAACCGTAAAAACAAAATAATTTGATATATGTTAAGGCGAATTAAAACTCGACTGAATATTTCTAATGCTATCAGCACTGGGGATTATCTTTTATTTCATAAGGTTCATCTAATTTTGGGAACAACAGACTGATAATTTAGCAAATAATTAATCATTATAATATTGATCTGCCCAATAACACTCTTAGATTTTTTGTAAATATATATGCTGGTGATACCAGAGTGTATGGATACACTTCCAAATATCTTGTTGACCAGGGCCTGGCAGCTGATTTCCTTCCTGAGCTAACTCTCACAATAGGAAAATTCAAGATGATATTCATCAATATACGCGAAACACGTGCATACGACCCATTGTTAATTTGTAAACATCTATGCCGATGGTATGACTATATATGGGCGCATCTCTAAAACTCTCGATGGTCAGAGATTGGTGACTGATCTCTCTTCCGATCTCGCATAGGGAACCAAAAACTGGCTGGTTACATTCAATGCCTCAAAGACCAAGCTAGTTACATTCCATCATTACCCATCTGACCCCGAACTACCACCAATCTTAATGACCGGGGGTCCTTACGGGGAAGTACCGTGCCTTGAAAGACTATTGGGCCTCAAACTCACACAGACAATCTATTGCTAAGGATGCTGGTAAAATGGTCAGCTCCCTAGATCGTTCCAGGAAGCACCTGATTCCTCATGATTTTCTCTACATTTACAAAAGACAGATCAAACCATTAATGAGGTATCGTTGTCATAGTTGGTCGGAAGCGGTCCAAACCACACCCTCCAGTCTCGACAGAGTCTAAAAGCGTGTAATTCCTCCCCTCCAAACTTCTTTCTCACCGAAGGAATATGGTAAACCTCTTGCTACTCAATCGTTACTTCCACGGAAAGTGCTAAGACTAATTACAATCCTTGGTTCCGCCAGTTCTAAACTTCACCGCTCGGACCCGACATGCCACACACATTGTAGCAATTCACCCACATTCCATCCGCATTCTGAGATATAAGTTCCATTCGGACAACTTTTTTTTTCCCGCGAAATACTGCTCAGTCGAACCGACTCCCAAGAGGAACTGGAACGTGTATATTCGGTGCCCAGCCTTCACAGTCTAGCCTCAACAGAGTTTTAAAATATTTATGCGGCCTTGTGGGTGATGAATTATTCTCCACCTTGTAACTCCTTATCCTACATGGGAGATGTTTCTACCCACCCGCTGCTATATCGTAATTAGTAACGCAGACTTTGAGATGTGTTTCATTCGTTAGCATTAACCGCATATACCTGCTAATTTTGGTTGCATTTTGGTAATTTACACACACAGACACACACACAGACAGACAGACACACACACAGACAGACAGACACACACAGAGACTGACAGACACACACACACAAAAACATTGTAGAAAATCAGCCAACATTCCGCATGTCTTCGGCGAGATATAAGTTCCACTCGGACGTCTTTTTTTTCCGCGAAACACTGCTCTGTCGAACCGACTCCCAAAAGGATGTTTCCCCGATCACTACTATTACTACATTACCCTTCATTTCCTCTTAACTTAACACTCTACCTCGAGTGACCACCAGGCCTTGTACAGAGCGAACCTTACTCTTAAAGAAGGAATAAATCCAAAATCAAACTAACAACATTTCATCACCACTGAGCAGACCCCAAATCTGCAACCAATCCTGATAAGTGGTCAAACCCTTAATGAGGACCCTTGCTTCGAGCGCAGAATCGGGCTGAAACTCACTTCCACCTTCAACTGGAACGCGTATATTCCGTGCCATTGCAAAAGAGGCTCGAAGAATGGTCGGTCTTTTTAATCACTCCCAGAAAATCCAAAACTCCCCTTCCCTAACACTTTATCTTTATAAGAGTCAGATCGGACGAAGAATGGACTATTATTGGCATATCTAGGCTGTTGCTGCCCAGTCCTCACTGACTAGCCTCAAGAGAGTACAAAAGTGTTTACGCGGCCTTGTGGGTGATGAATTATCCTCCGCCCTGTAAACCCTTATCCCACATGCCTCTCACTACTATATTTTAATTAATATGATAATGATGAATATGATGATGATGATTTTAATATACTTATCAGCTTTGATTGGCAACCAGACCATTGCCGCATTAACAGTATATATCTACTACTTCTCCTTGTATTTTGGTAACTTACACACGCACACACACACACACACACACACACACACACACACACATATATATATATATATGTGTGTGTGTGAAATATAGTTTTAAGGTGTGCTATATTGATGGGATAAAGTGTTCATTATATAGAGCGTATGTAAATATAAATATAAAATAAACATTGAAGTCAACACTCAGAGGCGACAGGCTGTTTTATGTTAGGCGCAATCGTCAGACCGCCCGACGATTGTGCCCAGCATGAAAAAGCCTGTCGCCTCTGAGCGTTGACTTCAATGTTTATTTTATATTTATGTTCACTTATATATATATATATGTGTGTGTGTGTGTGTGTGTGTGTGTGTGTGTGGTTTCATGATTGTTTAAGGTGTGAAAATTTCAATCCCCTCCACTGTTGATTTCTATGTCTACACAGCTTATATCTATAAATGCCCTATGTCTGATATTGTGTACACTTCCCCCATGAATATAGAATATGTCAAGCAATATATATATATATATATATATATATATATATAGATAGATAGATAGATAGATAGAGAGAGAGAGAGAGACAAACAGACAGACACACAGACAGAAAGAAGAGAGGATTAATGTACTTCCTCACAAAAAAAAAGCGTTAACATGATCAAATACCTACTAAAAGATTTATGAAAGATCGAATGAAATTTTGTTCCCAATTCTGTTTCGCCGTTGCACTTATAAACTGTTCCGTCGTCTCCAAAATTTCACATGATCCGATTTTTTTTTACCAGCATTTTGTTTCCATTTCATCCAAACACAAAGCCGACACATGTCTTCCAGTTTCTTCCGTTTTCTTTAGGGCGTATTTGATTTCATCTAAGAAGATTTCAATGGAAAATCCCACCCAAAAGTAAATCCCCAAGTTTCCGATCAATCACTTCGCTTCGAGGGAAAAAGACAGAAGACTCAGCACGAAACATGAATAATTATATAAAAAAGATGAACTTTTTCTTTTTAATTTGGTGCAGTGAAAAAGGAAAACAGATAGCAAATAATAATGTTTATTATTATTTATTAATAAAGGAATCCAAAAATACAAAAAGGAATTTCAAGTGGGTGAAGACGTACAAGAAAGGCATATACATCTACTGCAGCGGCAAAGAACCTAAAAAAGAAAGAAAGCAAAAGCAAGTTCAATGTACCAAATGCAGAAAAGATGACAAAATAATGTACAATACTCTGCCAGTACCAAACAAGCTGATGCAGACAAACCCCGTAGTATAGGATTAAAAGCTGAAACCTAAGGTTTATTTCTTGCTGGACAGGACCAATGTTTGCTAACTTGAAATTACCAAA